ACTTGGGGTGCCTGGGTGGTTCAGTCGGTTAAGTGTCTGACTTCAGCTCAGGTCATGATCTCATGGTTCTTGAGTTCAAGCCCCGTGAGTTCGAGCCCCGAGTTGGGCTCTGTGCTGACAGCTCAAAGCCTGGAGCCTGCTTCGGATCCTGTGTCTCCCTTTCTCTCTGCCCCTCCCTTGCTCACACTCTGTGTGTGTGTCTCTCTCTCTTTCAAAAATAAACATTAAAAAAAATTTTTTTTTAAAGTCAGATGCTTAACCGACCGAGCCACCCAGGTGCCCCAATATTAAATATAATTTATTGTCAAACTGGTTTCCATACAACACCCAGTGCTCACCCCAGCAGGGGCCCTTCTCAATGCCCATCACCCATTTTCCCCTGTCCCCCACCCCGCATCAACCCTCAATTTGTTCTCAGTATTTAAGAGTCTCTTATGGTTTGCCTCCTTTCCTCTCTGTCACTTTTTTTCCCCCTTCCCCTCCCCCATGGTCTTCTGTTAAGTTTCTCAGGATCCACATATGAGTGAGAACATATGACATCTGTCTTTTTCTGCCTGGCTTATTTCACATAGCATAATACCCTCCATAGTATTATGTCTTTAATGTCAAATTCTACTTGTTCGTTGCTGACACATAGGGAAGCAATCGGCTTTTGTATACTAAACTCGTGTCCTGCAAACTTGCCATAATTGCTTATTAGTTCCAGAAGGTTTTGATCAAATCTTTCAGATTTTCTACAGCTAATGCCAATGGCTAACAAAGACAGTGTTATGTCTTCCTTCCCAATCCTTTCCAAACTATAAACTTTCATTTATTTATTTATTTATTTTGCCTTGCTGATTCCTAAATGGTGTTGAAACAATGTGTTGAGAGGGGACATCCTTGCCTTGTACTTGCTCTTAGTGGGAATGCTTTGAGTATTATGTTAGCTGCAGGTCTTTTGTAGATAGTCTTTATCAACTTGAGAAAGTTCCTCTCTATTTTCAGCTTACCATGAGTTTTTATCATGAATAGGTGTTTCTGCATCTATTGATATGATCATGCGATTTTTCTTTTTTAGTCTGTTGATTTTATGGATTACATTAATTGATTTTTGAATGTGAACCAGTCTTGCATACTTGAAATAAATCCAACTTGGTCATGGTCTCTAATATTTTCATACATTTTTAAACTTGATTTGTTAATATTTTGTTGAGGCGGATGCCTGGGTGGCTCAGTTTGTTAAGCGTTTGGCTTCGGCTCAGGTCATGATCTCACGTTTCCTGAGTTCAAGCCCTGCGTTGGGCTCTGTGCCAAAAGTTCAGAGCCTGGAGCCTGCTTTGGATTCTGTGTGTCCGTCTCTCTCTGCCCCTCCCCCGATCGTGCTCTGTTCTCTAAAATGAAGGAATGTTAAAAAAAAATTTTGTAATATTTTGTTGAGTATTTTTGAATCTGTGTTCATGAGAGATATTGGTCTGTCATTTTCTTTTCCTGTAATGCCTTTGTCTGATTTGGTATTAGGGCAATGCTGGCCTCATAGAATGAGTTAGGAAGTATTCTCTCTGCTTCCATTCTCTGAAAGAGGCTATGGAGAATTGGCATGATTTCTCCTGTAAATTTTCAGTATAATTCACCGGTAACATATGTAGGCCTTTCGAAAGGTTATTAACTATTGATTTGATTTTTTTAAAAATAGATATAGATATAACATTGTCTATTTCCTCCTGGGTGCTTTTGGAAGATTGTATCTTTCAAGGAATTGGCCCATTTCATCTAGATTATGAAATTTGTGGGCATAAAGTTATTCACAGTATTCCTTTATTATCCTTTTAATACAGAATCTGTATTGACGTCTCCGCCTTCATATCTGATATTAGTAATTTATGTCCTCTCTTTTTCTTAGTTAGCCTGCCTTATTGATTTTATTGATCTTTTCATAGAAGCATCTTTTTGTTTTGTTGATTTTCCCAGTTGATTTTTTGTTTGTTTGTTTGTTTTTGTTTTTGTTTTCATTGCTCTGCTCTAATTCTTATTACTTTTCTTCTGGTTGCTTTGGATTTAATTTGCTCATCTTTTCCTAATGGGGAAATTTATGTTACTGATTTTAGATGTCTCTCTTTTTTTTCTAAATTATGCATTCAATGCTATAAATTCCCCTCTAAACACTGCTTTTACTGCATGCCACGATTTTTGATAAGTTGTGTTTGCATTTTCATGTAATCAAAAATGCTTAAGATTATTTCTCAAGATTTATCTTTTGACCCATTTGCTATTTAGAAGTGTTGTTTACATTCCATGTATTTGGGATTTTCCAGTTATCTTTCTGTTATTGGTTTCTAGTTTAATCCGATTGTGGTCTGTGAGGAGGAGTGTTATGACTTCTGTTCTTTTGAATTTGTTGACGTGTGTCTAATGGCCAAGACTGTGGTCTATCCTGGTGAATTTTCCATGTTAGTTTGAGAAAAATATTTATTCTTACTTTCACCTCCACAGTTTGTTTTTTTAAGCTTATTCATTTATTACTTTTGAAAGAGAGAGTGAGAGAGAGAGTGTGTGCGTGCACACAAGTGGGGGAGGGGCAGAGAGAGAGAGGGAGACAGAATCCGAAGCCGGCTCCAGGTTCTGAGCTGTCAGCACAGAGCCTGACATTGGGCTCCAACTCACAGACTGTGAGATCATGACCTGAGCCAACGTTAATGCTCAACCGACTGAGCCATCCAGGTGCCCCAGCCTCCACAGTTTAAAGGTGGGAGGGTGGACTGATGGGCAAAAAAAAAAAAAAAAAAAAAAAAAAAAAAAAAAAAAAAAAACAAACCAAGTGATTTGCCAAAGAATGAAAGACTGTTGGGCTAATTACTTCTCAGACTCTAATGTTCATATCATCCCTGAGGAGATATTAAAAGCCAGCTTCTGGCTCTAGATCTTTGGAGGGGCCCTAAACTTCATTTCTAAAAGGCTCCCAGGTGATATTGATGCTGCTGGTCTGTGGACCACGCTTTCAGTAGCAGGAGGTGAGAAGATCTCTTAGACAAGGGAGCCAAAAACTCTCATTTCATAGGAGGAAACTTGGGGCTCTGAGATCACAGATGAATTTCATCTTGCCCACAGGCACAGTGTGAACCTGCTATCCTGTAGTGGGGTTCTTCCTCTCATTCATCATTCTGTATCTCTGTCTCTTCACTTTCTGGTCTGTCCAAAAGGACACAGAAGATCCAACACTCATCATATTTTGTTATAGTCAAGAGAGTATACTGAACGGGTGCAGGCTTGGGGACTCCAGAGTCTCTGAGGTTAGCATGAGCAGAGGATAATCTGCAGAAGCTTTGGCTACATCTTTAGTTAGACCCACTAGAATTTTATGGGTGTGTCTAGATCATAATGGGAAAAGGCAAAATTAGAATTTGGTAGAAGAGCTAGACTTATTTCTTTCTTTCTTCCGTGGAGGCTGAACTGAGGGTTCCTGCACCTTTTTAGTCTGTGTAAAGCTTCCTGTCAGACATGAAGTAGTGGAACTTGAGCAATGTTTGTGTCCCGGTTGCTTTGCAAGAGATCTTAGGAACTCAGATTGGAAAGGTCAAAACTCAGAGTACTCGGTGCTTGGTTATGGATATCTAAATGCCTTAGGTTGGCCTTTCATCAATCCTTTGTGACTGAGTGATCAGCAGACTGGGAGAGGGACAGGAGCAAGTGTTAGAGGAAGAGGTCATTCAGGCCCTGGAGAGAAGACAAGTGTCTCGCATGAGGTCACTTAGGCCATGGGAATCATGGGTTGACCAGGTTATAGCTAGAGACCTCCTTCCATGCCTTCCTTGTAAGTTGGAGTCAATGAGGCACGGGGGCAAAAAGGGCACCGGGCACCCACCACGTGCTGCCATTTGTGGCACCTTTTTCTAGTTATGAATTACTGGAGATGATTGGAAAGAAGAAAATGGCTGTTTTTGGATAAGATATTGCAAATTCCTGAGGATTAGGAAGGAGAGTTTTATAATGTTCAGAAACATGGTGAGGGGATCATTCGTTTTAAAGGATGGACAAAAGACAATGGTTTTACAGATTTTACCAAGGATAAATTTATATTCTATCTTAAATATTTATAGAACATATCTAATAAAAGTTTAACAACTAATTTAACAATGGAGATTTTTTTTTTGTTTTAAATTTCAATGTACAGATGCCAAAAGAAGATGTCAAATGAAAGCAGCAAGCAGTACAAGCAAGCCAAATATTTTTAAAATATAAGTTCTTATCTGGTTCTCCACTGCAAGGACTGATTTATGCTTTATATTCGCTGAATATATTTGTTAAAAAGGACAAGACACCTTTTAGACTAGGAAGCATTTGCTAATCATAGAGTCTTTGGCATTAAACATGGCCAAATTCTATTTTTTAAAAAACTTTTTAAATGTTGTATTCATTTTTTGAGAGAGAGAGAGAGAGACAGACAGACAGAGCAGAGTGGGGGAGGGGCAGAGAGAGAGCGAGAGGTAATCAGAAGCAGGGTCCAGATCAGATCTAGGCTGTCAGCAGAGAGCCCTATGTGGGGCAGGAACTCAGGAACTGTGAGATCATGACCTGATCCAAAGTCTGATGCTTAACGGACTGAAGCACCCAGGTGCCCCAGAGATGGCCACATTCTAATCCTAGTTCTGCCTCTTACAGGTGTGTGACCTCTGAGCCATGGTGTTCTCCTCTATAAATAGGGGTAACACTAGGGATTGCTGGGGGTATTAAACGAGAAAATGTTTGCAAAACTATAACCACAGGGCTTCATACATAGCGAATATTAGTAAATAATGTCATAATCATGGAACCAGTAAGAACAACAAAAAAATAAATCATGAACTCAACAACGGTTTTGTTCAGATTCTCCAGGGGCCATCTCCATTGAGCTGGGAAAGTCAGAAGCAGAGATGCACGAAATGACGCCCCGGTTCAGAGGCGCTAAAACTACATTTCCCAGCAGCCCCTGTTTCCAGTGTCTAGGTTTCTCTCATTTCCGGGTCTGTCATGTGACTCTCTGGCTGCATCATGGCGGAAGCAGAGGGGCAGGTAAATGCTGCAACTGTTAGGCCGGGGAGGGAGAGGCGAGATGAGGTGATCCGGGCTTGGAGCTCAGAGTGTGGAAGTTCGGAGCTGCCAGAGGGCGAGGCAGGCCCACCGCGGGACGCGCGAGGGGCGAAAGGCCATTTCGGGGAGCAGAGGAGAGGGTGGGATGGCTACTCTT